GTAATAGAACATGAGGTTCCACAGAGCACACCTTCAGGATTGCGTATTGCAAAAACTCTATTCGGGCCAGCGATTTGTGATCGCGGCAAGTTAGATATTCTAGCAGAATGTCAGCCTATTTTCTACGGATTGACGGCTATTCATGAAGGCTCGAGAGTCGAATGTCCTCGGAATTTCTTCCGATGACTGTGTTTCGGATGAAGTTCAGCAGTATTTCGAAGACTACTCGAACTCAATATCGTTTGATAATGGCTATGTCACAGCACCATTTCCCCTAAAATGCAATGTTGCGCAATCAGAAGACAACTACTCTGCCGCTATCAAACGGCTATCTTCAGGATCAGTTGAAAATGCACCGTGACCACGCATACTGGTGTTCTGAGATTCTTAACGACTACGGAAACCAGGGAGTCATCGAACGAGTTTTCGAAAAAGATCAAGATGCTGTAGGCACAAACTGCATGTCTCACTCAGCCGTGTGGCGGCCCCACAAGGCAACACCCGTGCAGATCATGTTCGATGCCTTATCTAAGAAAAGGGGACGGTTTCCGTTGATTGATGTTATTCATAGGCGAATCAACCGTGAACAAAATCCATGACATTCTCATTTCAAGTCGCTTCAGCAAATACTTATTGCTGTACGACATCGAGCCCGTCATGCAGATTAGGCTTGAGGACGTACACAAAGACTTCCTCTGGGTAAAAGATAACACTAAGCCTATTATGAGGTCGAACATAATAGAGTACCGCTTTAGTCGCATACCATTCTGTATCACTGCGTCACCCAGTATACTAAATATGGCGCTTTTAGCATTTTTACGCTCGGAAGGGACCGAGTTATCAGAGGAAAAAAAGCAGAAATTCATATGTAGACAAAATTCTTCTCGAAGCACAAACTGAATAGCAGGCCCCCCAAATATACAAAGAATCGGAGAGCTTGTTATCAAAAGTCGGTATGGATTTCCGAGAGTGCGTTTTTAACTCAAATCATGTCAATATGGTCATACCAAAAAGCGACCGGGTTCTATCTGGTAGAATGAAACTTCTTGGCGTTCATTGCGATACGGAGAATGACCGCTTCACAGTAAAGACAAACTTCGAAATGAAGACGACGCTGGCGAAAAGAGATATAATTAGCCAAATAAATTCTGTATACGATATCAGTGGCGATAATAACGCTTACCGCTATTGTCACAGGTATGATCATTTTTTGGACGCTAAGGCATCTAGCCCGTTCTAGGAGTCGGTGCGATCCCACCATAATAGACGAAAGACCAGCAGAACCACGCACAATAGAAATGAACACACTCCATTCATATCGACCGACACCGCATGGCAGTCGTATTACAGCAGCAGCAGTCGTACTGTTCATGATAGTAGGTCTAAGCAACGCATGCCAACATGGGCTATCCAGACATCATGCTGAGCTGGTATGCAATCAGGATGAAAAGTGCTCTTACGGAATCGGGCGCGAAATTCTTCTCGACAAGTTGCAGAGAAAGGAATGCATCGAAAATCATCTTCGAAATAAAACAGTTGCTACGATAAGTATAGAGGTGAATGCCGTTCATTTCACCTGCACCAAAACGTCCAAGTTCTTCACAAAGGACACACAACATAAGATATTTTATTCCCAGCGATGTGGAGAGATGGGGTCATGTTAACAAAACACTGTTCATGGTCTAAGCAACGCAGCAAAAACAAATGTGACTCGCTACAAGATGACATGCAGCTGTAGTAGTGGAACGTCTCCTCAAGTTTGCGAATACGGAAGAAACTCGATCAGTCATATACGTGCAGAGAAATCCAATCGCTTACCGCTTATGACCGGTACTATAGAAATGTACACTCAAGGCAACGACGTTGTGGTAAACTTATATGAGGAAGTAAACTCTATATGTAAGATCTAAGATAATGACAGAGAGCTCTGCTATGAACTGGTTACTGTTTACTGACAGCCAATGCATTGCACAGTTGAGTGTGCTGAAAGGTTGTTATGGTTGTCTACATGGAGCACAGACCAATGTGACATGCATTTCACATCATGATCATTTGCAGAAATCAAATACAGCAACTTCCTAACTGTTGTTGAGTGCAGCCCAGACAATACAACTACAGAGCTCACTTTGAACTTCAATGAGGCCTTTATTAATAGTATTTGTTACAAAGCATGTGGCCAATCAAAAAGCGAAATGCCTCTCGAAGGACACTCGCTTTATCATCGGTCGCGAATGAATAAGTATTTTTCCACAACTCTGAGGAAGGGCAAGTAAGTATGCTAGGATTTGTAGCCGTTGCTCACAACGATCAGGGTTCACTGGAAAGCAGCTGTACTCATTGCCGTTCCCTGTACGTTAGTTACCGGTCGGATTTCTCGGTCTATTTACTGGGACCAATAGCAATTATCGTACTACTCAAAGTTCTGTGTGCTGCAATTAAATGTATCACAGCTCCATGTGGCGCGTTATGCACTTCTGCTCGGTTGGTTTCTTCAAACACATAGTCGTACCGTAGATAAAACCCGATTCGCCGCCAGGAATTCTTTTCACCTTTGAGTAAAATTTGTATAACAGACGTCAGCGCTATGGTCGACCATACTGAAAACGCCTCGTCTCCGTCCAACGCCGATATTTGCCGCCCTAGAGCATGTGGTCGGGCTGCTGCACAGCCATGAGGCAGCCAACGACCTGCTGAAGCGGTCAGAGTCTCGGTCGTTTTGTATTTTCTGCCCTTTCTGTGGTAGACAACCGCGACGGTCACAATACGTCGTGGTGCAGCCGCTTCTTCGACGCGGTTGCGAAAAGCGTGCAATTGGCGAGGCTCGGCCCTTGTGTTCATTGCCTCGAATCTGCACACTAAGACGACGATTGTGGCGTGCAGTGCGCCGCGTGTGAGAGACCACACAATGTGCTGCTGTGCGCCAACCGAGGACAGGGCGGCGGCTTCAAACGACGACCGTGAGGACGATGGGCAACATGCTGACACTTTGAAGAAAGAAAAAATAATTTGGTTTCGATGTGTAAATAAGTTTTATTTTAGTGTGACCGGCGGGAGTGTTCTGGCATAGGCAAGAACCCGCGGTCACCCCCACTCCTTAAGGGCGGGGCTTAGAGAAGACTCTTGTGCACCACCCGCAGCCAGGATATTTTGTGTTTTTGAATAAATCTCTTACCACTTACCCGCTTTTTTGTTCAATTACCAGAGAGACCAACAACATTTCTGAATATATCAGGTTGAGTAAAAAGTTTTGATCGGCTTTTCAATCTTCACTTTATAAGTCTTATTTCCATTGAAAGGGGATCTCAATTAGTAATATAGTCTCCATTGTGTCCTAAACATATGTCTAACGAACCGGCAGTTTTTTGACTCCTGAAGCCTAGAACGGTGGCGGCAGTTTCTTGACTCCTGAAGCCTAGAACGGTGGCGGCCACAATTCGAAAAAGCTGGAGATCTCATCTTTGAGCTCCGGGCAGTCAAAAATTTCTATCGCGGAGGTGATGTTTCAGAGCAAGAAACAAATGGTAATCAGACGGAGCGAGACCTCGCAAATAAGTAGAATGGGTTAGCACTGCCCATCTAAGTTCGGCAATTTACTGACAAAATAATTTCGCAACATGCGATTGAGCGCTGTCGTGAAAAAGGCAAACATTTTCACGCTGCGGACGCTTCCTTCGAACAACGTCGACCAAACTCTGTAGCTGAAAAGCGTAAATCTCGGCGGTCACGGTGGAGCCATCAGTAAGTTATCCAATGTAGAGCATTCCCTGAGAATGTCCACCGACGACACAGTAACACCTTCCTCGGACATAGTCTACTTCTCTGTTAGTCTTGGAGGTGCTTCGTCATGAGGCACCCGTGGGCTGAGATACGATGACCCTTCAGAATGCACCATAGATATTTGCGACAGCCGTCGGTGGATTATGTCCTTACAGTAATTCGTGATAGACGATAGCTCTCAGACAGCTTCGGACGCCAGTTGAAGGTTGAAGTCATTTTTGCGAAGCATTTCCAAGGGGATGCTTATATATCCTTTTAAAAATACAGGTTAATCGGTCTACCATAACCCATTACGAAGTCCTTCCGAGCGGTCCTACGAAAAAAGGGGCGAAGGTCGGTCAAAACTTTTTACTCAACCTAATATAAAAGGCGTCACCCTTCCGCCTAAGACACCACTGTGCTCCGGCTGACGTGAATCGAGGCATTATCCTGCAGAATAAGAGGTTTTACTGCCGATTCTGACACCATAAAGGAAGAAGAGCGCGGCGCATCACGGAAGAGCTAAGCTTCTCCGGAACAACCACAAATGAGACATTGACGAGAAGTTGCGGCCCATAGCAGGATTCCTACTCCCTTAAAATTTCGTCTGTGGAACGAATGCTTATCCTTCCTCAGTTCTTGCCAGTAGGACCGGTGGTTTCCTTCTGGGGCATCACGGTTAAACTTTTTTCATCAAAAAAAACAACCTGGAGAATGAAACATCAGTAGAACGAAGAGTAAAGGACAAGCCATAAAAAGCACTTACTCCTGTCGGTCCGGATGCGGTTGCTGACAAAAGCGACCCGGCTATCGCGATGCGTTCCGGTAACGGAAGTTGCCTCCGTCATTTTTTGTCCGACGATAGGTTCAGACTCACTTATCACGTTCCAAACAATCATTGGGACCTTGGGCTTCAAAAAGGACTTGATTTCCATGCATGACTTCGTCGTATTCGACGATTCCCTCGAAATCGTTCTCTTATATCCCTTTAAAATAATGAAAACATCCCGTACTTCTTTCGATTCCATACTCTCAGGATTCCTAACGAAATTGTCGACAACTGGGTGGCATCGGCCCAAATCTCAAACAACTTTGTGATTTGACAGTCCCTGCCCCTTTTTTGCGGAAATTTGACCTTTCCTTTCTCGAAATCGGAAAACAACTTTTCTTCTCCCATTACCTAAGATTGGAACGTGTCACAAATTAAGCAACTGTGTGAGGTGAAAATGGAAAACAACGAAAAAAATATAAGATGGCTGTATCATTTGTGAACATATGCAGAGTGAAGTTTCCTTTAAAAAATTAAGAGGAAAAAATGTCCATGTTCTTGAGATGGGACTTGCTGTTGGTCTACAAGTTAAAGTCCGAATAGGGCACAATTTTCCATATTAAGCCTTTTCCTGGAAGTGTCCTAGAACAGTGCCCTAGAGCTCTGGTGAAATTCATGGGTGGCCGTGTCACTGGGCAACGCACTGTATACTTTTTCTGTTGTCAGAAACAAAGGGTATATAAGGTGGGCCGAAATCATCATTACATAGACATCACATCCCCGGAAACGAATAGAAAGCTATTAAAGCAAACCAGTTTCAGAAAAGTGTTTATTACTGCTTTCATCTCAAAGGCTGACCACGCTGAGACTGCAGTAAGTCAATGGGAGGTGTGAAATTGTTTTGCAAACCTTTGGCTTACATTCTATAGAAATGCAAAACAAGTTCATGCATACGGGATGCAAAGCCTCGTACTACGCATTGCCCTACCTATTGCTCCACCACTTCACTGTTACTTAGCAACTCGACATGCTCAACAGAACCCTACACACATGGAAGAAATGTTCCCGTAAGCTTGTTCACAAAATTGTTTCGCAGATTTGGAATGTGGATTTGACGTCAGCGTTCGAAAACACATATGTGGATATATATACAGTAGCGCTCAAAAGTCTTCGGTGAAATGCTCTGACGCTTTTTTGTTCATAATTTTTTTCTTGGTAGACCAAAACGCGCGAAATTTGGATATGTCTAACTAGAGCATATTTCATCCTACCCAACGCTATTTGATTGCAAAGCTGCAAGGTCCACAGATAGAGCAAGGTGTTTGTTGCGGCAGCAGATTTTGCTAAAAGTGAAGTTGTTGATGTCTGCACTTATTCGCACCTTATGTGCGTTTTTCTCATCTATTGTGTTCGGCATTACCGCTCGTACACTTTAGACATGACGAGAAATGAAGAGATTCTAGAAGGACCATCATTCGTATTTCTTGTCGATTTTGAGTTCATGCTCTTTGGAATATCTGGAACATGATCAGATTACAAGTTAATAGTGGCAAAAATTCAAAATACACCCATGCTACACATATCGAAATTTCGCATGATTAGATCCTGTAGGAAAGGAGTTACGACTGAAAAGTATGACTGAAAAAGCATTTCACCGAAGACTTTTGAGCGCTACTATATATATATATATATATATATATATATATATATATATATATATATATATATATATATATCATTTTGAATGGCCCCTGCGACCCAGCATCCCTCCCTTGTTAGTATTCGATGATGGGTGCCGTTAGAGCGGAGTATTTAGGCTGTTTTATCCGTAGCGTGGCAGTGTTAACCAATTTCTTCAAATCCATTTAGAATAATCCTTTGAACGTCCTTACCCTCAATTCTGACAGCTTCTTATACTTTTTCCAATTTATCCGCAAGATTAGATTTTATTGGGTCATCTATAGGCTTTGTCTTAGTATGCTGAGTTTAAATGCAATACAGTGCTCCTCTTGTCTTAACTACCCTCCCCACTGAGTTTAACTTTTTTTGCTTGGTATTTTGCTCTCCCAGTAATATGCTATCTCGCTCAATTTTAGAGAGTTTCGGCCTTTATAACACTGCCGGTTCAGGGTGTGCACCGAGATTTGTGCTGCCACGCTTCAATGGGCTTATTCGAAGAAGCGAGATGCACCAGTGTTTTTCCAGCAATCTAACCCTTTCCTCAGTTTCGGATATTCGGTAGAGACGGGACACAATCAAATACTATGCAGATGCACCAGAATTTTGTGTTGGGCTGTAATCGATCGCAGTTTCATATTTCTTGTTAACTGTTTAGTGCGTTGGAATGCTTATTAAGTTTAAGTTTAGCTTTTATTACGGAATCAATTCATATCCGAATGCCGTATCATGACTTGTCTGAATGAATGAGTGTTTGTTATACTCCTCCAGTTCTGCCCGATCTCCGTCAAATTTCGCGCCAACGAGTGTAAGAATGCCCTCGTTTCCTCGGTCTACGTAGTCGTACGAGATCCACGTTGTTCTCTTGCGGGCCCATTCGTGTTTGTCCATTTCACCAATCTTTTGTGCTCATTATAGTTTCTTCATATTCGCTTCCTTCAATCAGTCGTTTAGCTTCGTGAGTGATCTTACTCTTTCATTGCCCACTGACCTGGTTCTGTCGATAGCAGCATTATTCTTTCCATCTTCCTTCGAGTCATAGCCAGCTTTGCGATGTATGACTTTAGATTTGAGCACCATTTGCAAGGTGGCGGTGAAGAGTTTTGTACTTAATTTGTCTCCTTGTCTGACCCCTATTTTGATGGTAACTGGAACTGGATGAGAGTTGACGACAACAAACGTGGAAGATCCATAGATCCTCTGTAACATCAGTGTCAGCTCTGTATGTACACCCCTCCTCGCAAGGGCTGTCCATACTGCGACTCACTCGAGGCTGTCGAAAGCTTTTCATTATCAACATGAGCAACATAGATTGGGCAATTATATTCAACGCTCTTTTCCGCAATTCGATTGAGGACCCAAATCTGATCAAGCCTAGAGTACTTTCTTCAGAACTAAACCTGATTTGGCTCTCTGTCTCCTCTAGCTTTCTTTTTGTCGTCCAGGAGAGCTCTTGTGGTAGCTTCTAGAACTCCTGATATAAGAGACATTGGTCGAAAGCTGTTCATATCATTAGAATCCCCTTTCTTGAATAACAGTTTTCCATGGGCGGTCGTCAAATCTTTCGGGATCAGTTCACCGTTCAACGGTGCGGTAAGCATGGGAGGTATTGTCCACTTTGCAAGAGTCGGCTGTTCCGAAGCAATACGGTCTGGATGAATTCTGCTTCCTCAATGCAGAAGGGAAGGCATGGTTCGGAGGGCGAAGGGATGGAAAGAAGAAAATTTAAGACGACTCATATAGTTCATCGTTGTAAGAGGTCATTGCAGTTTCTGTTGCTCTTTTCGAATACGCTCCACTAGTCGGGTCTTTCGACACTGATTTTCTTCCCCTGAGGAATCCTACTCGTTGCGTTTCGATTAGTCTTCCGCCCTTCTCGATTGCTTTTTGCACTATTGTGATCTTTCTCCCACGCATATCCTCAAGTAAAGCAATCCTAGCCGTTTTGCATGTTGTAGAATAGGCGATGCGGCCCGTCGAGGGCTTATCCCTCAATGCTATCCGTTCGGAAAGAAGCAGCTCGCGGTCGAGGCGGAGGCGGGAAGAGGGAGGTCGATGCGGATTTGCATGCGAACCATTTGATGATCAGTATCGAACAGGAAGTTGTTCACGATTCCACAGTCGAGAACGGTTGTAGTCGGAGGAGAGCATACGACGTCAATCTGATTGCACACCACCCCATTGGGTCCCCGCCAAGTTCCCAAACGACCTTTTCTTTTTAGGAAAAAAGTATTCCATGCTCTCATTCCTAGTCTGGTGATCATTTCGGTCAATAAACGTCCATAATTATTTGATGTGCCGATGATATTTTCGTTCCCTACGTCACGTCCCAGTTTGGCATTCATGTGTCCAGAAGGACGAGGATTTGGGGCTTTTCCACAGATTCGTTCCACTTCTTCCAGAAAATCGTGATATGCTCCATCATGATCTGCTGAAGAGGCTGGCCTGTAGCAGAGTATGAGAAAAATTCTGAATGAATAGTGGTGGAGGGCTGCTAACCTGTCGTTTACCGGTACAAGAGGATACGATGTCAGCCAAAGACTGATCCTCGACAAAACTCACACCTCGATGCGCAGTTCCACCACCGGAATGAAATAAGACTCCACCTGATGGCAAGATATAGCTTCCATTGCTTTTTATTGTCACTCTGTCACTCTAAGTATCACCGGTAACTCCTGTCTTTGATCATCGATTTCCTCGAGCGGGCGTCAGTAACGTCTCCAAGGAGAACGTCCGTTGCGCGCGTCCGTTGAAGGTAGGTCACCCCGCCCACTCCGCGCGCGGCGCACCCAACTGAGATTTCGAGACGACATTACAGTACCACCAAGTGTTGGTGGTGCGAATGGTTTGCATTTGTCCGTATTATCTTCTCTTTGCCTGATTGTTGGGGACCGAGAGCAATTCGTATGCCCCACAACTGCGACGTTTGTCAAGTATCGCGGGCTTGCCGGCCGCATGCGACGGCTGCGGCGTGACCTTGTTTCGATGGACGCGCGCAACGAAGCGCACCCCGTCCCCATTCGTCCCTGTCACGAGCCAGAGTGGTGCAGTGAATCGCATCCTCGCTTCAGGGACACGAAATCCAACATTCTTTTCGGTCAGAGCTTTCGTGAAGAAGTCTGATCACCTCGTTGGTGGCCGTCCTTGAGTTCGTTGATGTCCCGAGGGAACCAGTCAGTAACCCTCCTGGTCCAACGGTCATCACTATATCGTATAACGTGTCTGACCCACGTGATCTTGGATTTCCTGGCGTAATCAACGGCATGCTCGATCTTCGTTCGATGACGGAGTTCGAAACACCGGATTCCCTTTTGCACTTGCGTGTATAGGGAAATTTCAACCATTGTCCTTTCCAAAGCGCGTTGAGTAACGCTGACAACCTGCTCATCCTGCTTTCGTAGAGCTAAAGTCTCCGAGGCATACATCAAAGCAGGAAGGACAGCAGTGTCGAAAAGGTGAGCGCGGAGCCCGATGTTCTTTGTCTTCTTCTCTACTCTCTGGTTATTCTTAAATGCTCCCTACGCAGCGCGTTTCCTTCTGCACACCTCCGGAGCTAGGTCGTTCATCATGTTGACTTCCCGACCTAGATACACATAGCTAGAGCAATCGGAGATGTTCTTTCCGTTTAGCATGAAGGGAGCATCAGGTACCAATCCGTTTTTCATAAACATCGTCTTCGTTAAGTTACGTCTCAAGCCGATCCTTCCACAAACACTGTCAAACAAGGCCAGCAATCGTTCCGCCTGCTCGATGTTCGGTGTTATAAGTGCGATGTTGTCTGCAAAGCGGAGGTGATGTAGGTGGCGGCCGTCGATCTTCACTCCCAAATCATCCCATTCCAGATGACGCATGATATTCTCAAGAGCGGCACTGAAAAGTTTGGACGAAATGGTATCGCCCTGTCGGACACCTCTCTTCTTAATAATGACTTGCTTGAAAAATGGTGAAATCCTGCTCGTTAATGTCGTAGAGCTCACGAAGCATCCTTACTTATTGAGTAGGAACACACTGGTTGTACAGGGGTTCAATTACCCTTCTGTCTCAACGGTGTCAAAGGCTTTCTTCAAACGTATGAACGTAAGACATAACGGCATTTTGTACTCTCGTGATACTTCAATGAGTCTTGTAAGAGTGTGGATATGATCGATTGTACTGAACCCTCTCCGAAACCCTGCTTGCTCTCATGGCTGCCCTTCATCGAATATTCTGCCAATCCGGTTCAGGATGACACGAGTGAAAAGCTTGTAGATTACAGACAGCAGGCAGATTGGGCGGTAATTGCCAATATCTTCTGGATCTCCCTTTTTATACAGCAACACAGTCTTGCTAGTTTTCCACGAAGTGGGCACTTTGCATTCCGACAGGTAACTGACCAAAGTTCTGACGATGACTGGTGTAAGACTCTTCAGATGTTCTGGTTTGTTCCTATCGGAACCGAGCGCCGTACACTTCCTCATCGACGTGATGGCATATCGTATTCCAGAAGAGAACCGAAGGAGCGATATATTCGTCTTGCCTAAGATGGTAGGTAGGCAGGTAGACGTGGCTGTCGAAGAGATCCGAGTAGAAGTCGTATGACCTTCTCCATTGCGCTTCGAGGTGCAGTAACTATTCCGTCAGGACGACGAAGAGAAGTCATCTTGGTCTTGTAATTGGCGAAGCTCCGTCAGGCTCCGTCAGGACGTTTGTTGATGATTGCCTGTAGCTCGCGCGATTCCACGCGGCGTATCAGCTCGAGAGTTTTCGAAGAGAGTCGTCTCCTGGTTCCTTGTAGACTCTCTGCTTTACTCATGCTATCCTGAAGATGTTCGACGAGCCGGTTGTATTCTTCGTCGATGTTGTCGTTCTTCCCATTTACTTGCAAGAGAAGCGAAGTAGTCCCAGTTGATGAAAGTCTTGGGACTTCGTTTCCTTAAATTCATAGCTCTCTGTGCGCATTGAAAAGCAAAATCTAGAGCGGAGGAGACAATGGTCCGATCCCATGTAAAACTTCGGAACAACAGCGGCGTCAGTCAATCAAAATCTCCGATTGAAAATGATGTGGTCTATTTCATTATGGAACTGTCCACCTGGTGACTCCCATGTCCATCGTAAATGAGAGGGCTTCTGGAATTGCGAGTTACCATGGATGATGTGGGTCGGGACAGTCTGTGTCTGGGACATGATGAACTCGGACAGCCTTTCACCCTGCTCATTCCTTTCACTTCCGTGAGTCCCGATGTAGAGCTCTTCAGCCGTTCTTCTGGGGCCAATCTTGGCGAAAATATCACCGACGATGACCTTGAAGAAAGTGTGGTCTTCTTTGTAGATCCTCTCTAGATCAATAAAAAACGCTTCCAACTCCTCTTCTTCATAACTCGATGTTGGTGAGTAGGCAACGAAGATGAGCCACATCTTCTTAGTCGCAAACGTCCGATTCGGATTGTTAAGCTTTCGTACTAATCGNCCTTTCACCCTGCTCATTCCTTTCACTTCCGTGAGTCCCGATGTAGAGCTCTTCAGCCGTTCTTCTGGGGCCAATCTTGGCGAAAATATCACCGACGATGACCTTGAAGAAAGTGTGGTCTTCTTTGTAGATCCTCTCTAGATCAATAAAAAACGCTTCCAACTCCTCTTCTTCATAACTCGATGTTGGTGAGTAGGCAACGAAGATGAGCCACATCTTCTTAGTCGCAAACGTCCGATTCGGATTGTTAAGCTTTCGTACTAATCGACGTTCATGGCCAAGTGCGTATTGACGAGGACACCTACGCTGCCGACGCCTCTGCTGTCGCATGTTCCAAGGAACAGTTCTTCGCCAGTCTCAAATACCTTCTCGGGGCGATGCCTTCTCGTCTCGGTCAATCCGACGACGTCGTACTTGATCTTTCTAGCTTGCATCATCAGATCTTCTATGCACGCTTCCGATGCAAGCTTCCGTGCATTGAAAGTACAGATCGCCATCCTCTAAGTATATCACATCTAATCTTGTCCATAGCTTCCGAGCTCAAGTTGACGTGCAGTACTCGAAAGGAATCTGGCATTGATAGTTTCAACTATAAGGTGCTTGATTCTGTTAGCCATGAGGTTGAGAGATAGCAATGGGGCCCAGACTATTCTGGTAGAGGCACTGGGTTCAGAGAGGAGAGGTTGATGGGGGAATGGAGGGAGGCCGACCAGTCGCCACCACGTGAGCCTCAAGAATGCTTGTTAGGAAGACGTCAAACAAGAATCAGTCATTTCTATGTGGGTGTTCGTACGTGCTCAGGATACAGTGGTCGCAGGGTAAAGCAATATATATTTTGTGGGATCTCGTGGCGTATCCAACTAGGATCTTCTCGAATGTGTTACTTTATTATACGTATAGAATATAATTGTATACCTCGTGTGGGTAAAGTTGTTCAAACTGATAATTCTATTCATTGGCTCACTATTCACTTCGAATATCGTTTGAGGCTTTCCACTAAGGAGACAATGTTTGTGCTACATTGGGAGAAGCGTCGTTCGCCATTCTGTTGTGTCCTGCTACCCCTGGCAGCCACTGATTTTGTCGAGTTACATCGTTCTGGAAGGAAAAAGTTATTCATCTACTACTACGATATTCGCTCTACAAGAGAAATTACACAACCGGAAGCAAAACCTGGATCTCATTCGGAAATCGTGCTGCTGTTGGCAAAATTACCCAGATATGCCTTACTCTGAGCTCCTACCAAGTGTTAAAGGCATAGTTCACGAAAAAAGGTCCCTGAGTTCCTATTTTCATCAACCTGTGACCCCCAAAGATAACCCAAGGGCCCCAGGACCGGCTTAGCCGATGTACACGCCTACTGTAAAGGTTGCACCATTCGCGTCGGACCCACAAATTGTACGCAAGCAGCTCACTGCAGCCATCTGCATGCAGTGGAGCGCTTTTAAATAGCTCCTCCAAATACTCCTTCCACGCCACTTTTGTCGTCACATTCTCGTCGAATTTCTAATTCTACGTCCTTTCCAGCCTCATCTTTCTCTGAATAAGCCATTTTTTGAGCCATTTCTTAGCCTATTTGCACTATTTTGGACCATTGCTTCCATTATCCGTCAAAAAACAATTGTAGATACCCCGAATTATCGTGAATTGTGCCTTTAAAGTGGTAAATACTGTTGGTAATAGTGGAGAAGTCTGACGTTATTTTGCGTTAAAGATTAAACTGGATGAATTGCGGCATGAAAGTGTACCCCACATGTCATAAAGATATACAAAGGGGAATTTCGGCAGTGTGCTGAAAGTTTTCGCTCCATCGTCCGCATTTTCCAGATCTAGTACATTATTTATTATTTATTATTTATTCAGAGCTGCGAAACAGACTAAGAATACCGGTTCATGTGATTCCGAGCTCCTTGGTTCTTCTTTGAAGTCTTTTCAAATTGTGACGGGGAATGGGTCCCAAATTCTCTAGGAAAATTCTACACGTTGCGCCTTCTGGATTTTCAAGGATAACAAGTGCTAACGCGTTCTAACAACACGCTTACGAGGTTTTGCTCTGCAAATTCTATCGCCTAGCATACTTTAGTGTGAGCAATTGCCGGCGGAGTAACCGATGTGTACACAATGCAACTAGTGAACTGGCAGAGGCTATCCGAAAAAAGTTACTTCGACGTACCTCAGTCCACAGAGTTCATTACAACCCTTGTATCCATGCCGCTTCAGTCATTCTCCTTCGGTTGGAACGGCTCAGTTCATACGATCCACTACCTATTGAGGGTTGTTTTGCTTCCTTCTAAGTATCAATTTCAAAAGATCCCTGAAGACGAGCAGTGCAGTTCTCTTGATGACTACAAATTTGAACTGGTTTTGTTTATTATATCATTCGCCATAGTGTTAGCCTCCTGAAATGGGAACCCTCTCGGAACCGTCTTCTTCTACGGTGAGCGTTCATGGTCAGTATATCACGTATCACCGAGTGACTTTCGAAATTGCTTCATGGCCAGTACATCGCGTATCACCGAGTACTTTCAAATGACCTCCTTATTTCGCCTACCTCCTTTCTTCTCTTGTTAGGTGTTGCCAAAACAGGTGTGTGCCGGATTCTACTAAGTGATGGGAGCTGCTTTGTGTTTTAAGCCGCCGTGAATTCTTTTCGGTTGTTCCCGTCAGTTTTACTATCCACCTGTGTTGATGTTTTCGTGTATCCATGTGCGACGGGTTTGATGTTCATCAAAAAAGCCATAAATTTTGGGATGGATTGAGAACCACCACATAGTGGGCTTGACATGTCTCTTGACGTGGCCAGCATATTGACATGTCAGCGCCGCGGCATTCATGGCGGCTCGAATTTTCAGTACCATACAACTGACTCATATCGCGGTTTGGTAAGGATCCACTGAGGAGTTCTTTCAGCGTGTAGAGGGCAATCCATTCTCATCTGCTTCGTTGCATCAGCTACTTTATGCTCTCCATTATTTCGTGCAGCATTGGGAGAAATTCTTGTTCACGTGAGGATTCTTGGCAAAGAGCTCTTTAAAACAATCGGAACTCCTACTTCGGAATTACGCGCCCACAAACACAATTTTGCATTCAGTTTAACATTATATCTTCTGGATTTTCTGTTCAGGTTGTGGCTCACATCCGTTCATTACTCGAGCCTACTGCGGAAGCGTTGGAATTGCAACTTCTTCTCCAATCGAGCGTCGTGGAAGTAAGAGAACTCATTGAGCTAGTTTTCTCTGAACTATTTAACCGATTCAATTTCACTTGTAGATATTCTGTTAAGAGTGATCAGCTGGAGTTTTAACTCAATAATTCAAAAAGATAAAATAGAGAAAAGGATAAAATGGAGAGGTCGTTTCATAAGCCCGATCTTGCTTGCTTCTTTCTTTTTCCTCACTTTGAATGACCCAGTGCATTAGTTTTGCATGAGCGATGTCGTTTTTCTAGAACCTTTCCTTTCTTGATTATAGTATAATCTTTGAGCGTAGGGATAACTTTAACTTCATGCTCCGGAATGGGAGGTCTAAACGTTCGATCCATTACAGGGAATTAACCTGTGGTGTGCCATACGTTTAGTTATAACATCGTCTGAGCATTTCACCATGAAGTTCAGAATTGTTTTTTGCGGCAGAATTTGAAGGATGCCTGCTGAGCTGTAGCGGCAAGAAGAATTTCCATCGAAGAGACGTGAGATAAACCTGTGGAACGGTGGAAGAGCATATAACTTCTTCTTCTCCTCCTTATTCCTTAGCGTCTGTCCCACATGTAGGCAGGGTACGCTTTTCTGATATGTTGGCGCCACTCCTCCCGATTAAACGCTTGATCGGAGTGAATGTTAACCGTTTTGAGGTTTGCAACGTATCGAGCCATCGCTGCTTTGGGCGCCCTCTAGGCCGCTTTCCGGACACATCAAGGTTGAGACCGATCTTACGAACACTGTCTTCATTCGCGCGAAGAACATGACCATACTATGGGCTTCGCTTATTTTATCGACAATGGGCGCTACGCCGAATTGCTCCCTGCTGACGGCATTACTTGTACGGTCTAGACGTGTTACTCTGGCTGTGCAGCGCAGCATCGTGGTCTCTGTCACACTGAGAACGTACTTCCACTTCTTTTGTTGCAGGCCAGCACTCACGATCAGCGCCATAAATTGCGACCGGCCGGATGACGGTTCTATAGATCTTAGATATGGGACGCTCAGGCATGCTCTTATCACAGAGCACGCCTGTCATCGAGCGCCACTTCAACCACTCTGCATTCACGCGAGAATTCGTTTCAAATCCAAGCTGCCGTCAGACGCAATTGCCGTTCCAAGATACTGAAAGTTGTCCGTGCGAGCTCAGTACATCAGATTTTGGTAGAGCCTGGCTCGCTCGGATCGGTGGCCGAGTACTCAGCCTTTTTGACGTCGAACCTAACCAGGGAAGGATCCCAACTCAAAGTGGCCATTTGAAATAAGACCTATACTGCTAGACGTGTTTTTGAGCGCTGAATTCAAATCCGCTTTCCAATTCTGCCAAGCGATTCTCTGAACGGAGTTATGAGGGTGGTTTTGGATGACATTACATAAGAAAACTTAAATTACATGGAAGCAG